GCAGCAGAAATCCTGTTGCAGACTTCTCCGAAACTCCACCACAGCCTGTACTGTCAAGGGAAGAATGGCTTTCAGGGAGTCTCTGCAGGTATTGTGCAAGGTCCTCCTGGTTTCCAGCTTCTGAGCGGCTCTCATGACCCCAGTCCACAGGACCTCTGACCCCTCGGGCTTAGTCTGCATTCTCATGTTCTCTGAGTCATTGTTCAGCAGCTGCTCCTCCGCTGACTCTGGACCTTTCTGGTTCTCAGTGGCAGGAGCAAGAGTGGCCCGTTGTATGGCATGTATTCCCAGGGTTTTTTCCATGTTTGAATGATTCACACACGTCTGTGGGTGGGCATCTGCAGCCGGTGCATGGTGGGCTAATTGTGTCATTGTTTCTCTGTGTCATGGTAGTTCTCAACTGAGCGAGGGTGGCCTGCCTGAGGGCCAGTGCTCAACAGCTCTGGCTTCCCTGACTCCCCCTGCGCCAGGAGCCCTCCCTCCGGGGGCCTACGAGGCAGGGAGCAAGCCAGTCCAAAGACTGGGGCTCCCCGCCCCTGGCTCCCCATGCGCCTGGGCCCCTCCTTCCGGGCGCCTACAAGGCCGGTAATCATGTTTATTCATTCTCTATTTAAAAAGTGAAACTTTCATTGTGAAAAATTTTCAAACATATCCCCAAATAGAATAATAAACTGTATATACCCTTTACCTGGCTGGCTCCAACAAGTATCAATTTGTGACTAATCTTGTTTAGTCACCTTTTCATAACATCCTTTCCCTAGCCCCAAACTGTTTTTGTTGTTGTTGTTGTTTTTGAGACTATCTTGCTTGGAAGTTCGGGCTGACCTTGAGCTCACTGTAGCTGAAACTTGCCTCAAATTCTGAGGCAATCATTCTGCATCAGCTTCCTGAGTGAGTGCTGGCATTACAGGCTTATACCATATTGCCCAGAAAACTATTATTTTAAAGCAAATCCAAAACATTTTATTCCATTGTAAATATTTCAGAATGTACCTCAAAAATAGTTTTAAAAAATAGCAAAATCATGATCTCATCTAAAAGTAGTAATTCCTCAATATAATACTCAAATAGTTTTGTAAAATTTTATTTTGCTTTTCAGTTGATTGGTTAAAGTCAGGGTCCAGGCAGAGCTCACAAATTGCATTTGGCAGATATTTCTTTTTTAGGGCTTTGTGCGTGCAGAAGGGTACTGGGGACATAACCCTGGGCAAGTGCTCCACCAGTGAGCTACATACATCCTCAGCCTTTTACTTAGGACTTTTTAAATGTACAGGTTCCCCTCACTGTTTTTTCCCCTTGCAACTTAATTATTAAAGAAACTTGGTAGTTGTCCTTTAGCTGTCCTATATTCTGGATTTTGCATATCACATCTCTATGGTGCCATTTAACGTGTTCTTCTGCCTGCTGTATTTCCTGTACACTGGGATCTGCCGTCAGATTGACAGTGTAGGTTCTTTTTTTTTTTGAGACAGGGTCTCAGTATGCAGTTCAGGCTGGCCTTGAGCTCACTTTGTATCCCAGGCTGGTCTCAAACTCCCAACGATCCTCCTGCCTCAGCCTCCTGAGTGCTGGGATTACAGATGTGTGCTACCGTGCCTGGCTTGACAGTGTAGGTTCTTATTTCCCATACTGTTTACTACCCTCCAGGGGGAAAAACTGCACGTACACAGTTCTGGCTCCTTCCTGTCGTTCCCACCTGAGCTCATCCCCAGGCATCACATCCAAAACAGTCCAGGTGCACAGGTCTCCTGCGTTGACCCTTCTTGCCCCATATGAGCTGTTATGGAAAAATACTGTGAATACTTAAATTTTTAAAAAGGTATTACAGTAAAAGTTACATTGCCATTAATCTTCCTCAAAATAATATGCCTCTCTTTGAACACACTTATCCCATCATCCTTGTAATGTTCTGAAGTAGTTCTGGAAGTTGTCCTGTCCTGGCTGCCTCGATGTCCTCAACACGTACAAAACTAACTTACTTTCCATGGTTATTTTGTCTTTGGGGAAGAGCCAGAAGTCGCACAGTGCCAGACTGGCGAATAAAATGGATGAGGCGACGCCATAGTGTTCATTCCCCAGTCATGGATTCAGTACCAGTAATGAGAAAAATCCAGCCAAACTCCTGGTCCGTCTGCATATTACATTTCTCAGTGAGGTCAGTCTTCACAGATGACGGAGTTGAAAGTGCAGTCAATTGGCTAAAAAATAATTTTCCAATAATAATACTAATGAGGGTTGTGTGACCTCTATCCATCCTTTCTATCCAGATCATTTGCACTGTGTCTGATGCTTGCATAAAACCCAATTTCCAAGGCAGGCGTTTTGGGTGAAAATGGAAATATTCCTGTGCCCAGATTCCAGTTAATAAAAGATACTGGCAGGGTTTCCAAAATTGTTGAACTGATTTACATTTCACTGGGAAACAGCTTTTTGAATCTGAGTTGTCTGTATGTGGCCTCCTCCCTGTGATCACTTCCCACAGCAGCTGGCTTCTGGCAGCTTCTGGCAGCTGGCGCCAGAGCCGGATCCCACACTCCACCCGCAGCTGGCTGGGATGTCTGTGCTAGGGACACTGCGCCTTGCCTGACTCTCTTCCCTGCCACCTGGAAGTGGATTGTAGATAAGTTTTACTGGCCAGCTGATGCTGGAAAATATGCCATAGGAGGAGTTAACAGCCCATGAAATTTGCAGAAAGAGAAGGTTTTGGCCCGTAATCCCAGCACTTGAAAGGCTGAGGCAGGAGGATTACCACAAGTTTGAGGCCAGCCTCGGCAGCATAGTGAGTTCAAGGCTTGCCTGAACTACACGGGAGACTCTGTCTCAAAAACAAAACAAAACAACTTTAAAAAAAAGAGAGGGTTTTGATAAATCCAGAGTTAACTTCTGAAGTGGAAGAGGTTCCTGCCCTGCCCAGGGCCAAATGGGCTCCACCATTCTGAACTTTGTCACCAGGTTCTGAACAATTGTGTTTCAATCCCCTAGTTCCTTCCTTTTTTGCCCCTCGGACTATAAAGTGAGGTTAGGGGGAGGGCGGACAAGCTGGTGAGCATCCTTATGCCCCTAAGCAGCTCCTGAGCATCTGAGTAGCTCTCTGAGATCTGGGTTTGCAATCTAGAGCCGCTTAAAAGAGCAGGATAAGGGGCTGTTTGGAAAATCCTTTCCATATGACTAGAGAATTCAAACAAAAATTGTAGATTTTCGTTGTTGTTGCTTTGAGATAGGGTCTCACGTTACCTAAACTGGGCTGGAATTTATGATCTTCAGGTAGCTGTCTGTCAAGTAGCTGGGGTTATAGGCATGTGGCACTGTACCCAGTCAAATGTACAGATGCTTTTTTTTTTTTTTTTTTTTGAGATAGGGTCTTGCTCTATAGCTCAGGCTGGTCTTATACTTACCGTGTAGACTAGGCTGGCCTTGAACTCAAAGCAACTCTCCTGCCTCAGCCTCCTAAGTGCTGGCATGTGCCACCATTACAGATATATACCACAAAGACCAGCTAAATTAATTTATTCTTAAGTTAAAAAAAAAATAGAGCTGAGCCAGGCATGGTGGCACACGCCTGTAATCCCAGTACTTGGGAGGCTGAGGTAGGAGGATCGTTTCAAGTTCGTTTCTAGCCTGGGCTACAAAGTGAGCTCAAGGCCAGCCTGAACTGCATAGCAAGACCCTGCCTCAAAAAGACAAAAAAAAAAAAAAAACAACTGGAGTGGGATTCCATGTCATTGGTGGAGAAATAGCGGGTATTTGACCTCACTGGTGTGGTGTGGCAGCAGACCCAGGTAACCCACACAACCAAGGTACTGTTTGTGATGGTACCTCAGGCGCCTTTCCCTGTTTTTCTAAATAGTGTGGGTTTCAGCTAAATAAGAAAATTGAAGTCCCATTGGAAAGGATCTCAAGAAATCTGTACACAGGCTAATCAAGAGACCGACTTCAGAGTGGGGTTCTCTGTTTGAATCCACTAACTACTTGGTGACTTCAGATTTTCTTTTTGGTACCAGGAATCAAACTCAGGACCCTGCACTTGCCAGGCAGGTGCTTGTGCCGCTGAGCTATATCCCCAACCCACTTGGTGACTTCATAGTTTTTTGGTTCTTGGTTGTATCTTTTTTTTTTTTTTTTTTTTATTAGTTTTTTTTGAGACAAGTCCTGCTGTATAGTTCAGGATGGCCTTGAACTGCTGCTGTGTAGTCCAGGCTGGCCTCACACTTGTGGCAATCCTCCTGCCTCTGCCTCCTGAGTACTGGAATTATAGCTGTGTACCCTCACACCCAGCTCACTGGTGACTTTGGACAAACTGATTAATCTACCTAATTTTCCTCACCAGAAAAATATGGATATTAGTAATACCTGGCCTTCTGGAGTTCTTCAGAGAATTGGATGCTAGTCAGGTGCCTAGAACATGGTAAAACAGTTACTACAGGTTAGCCGTCATTCTAAGTCAGTCAGTCAGTCATAGTAATTGGTGAGACCGTGAGCCTCAGGTGGATTTACATCTAAATAGGTTACTGTGTCACCATCTGTGTGTATCACCCTTCACTTTTTTTTTTTTTTCTGTTACTGGGAATCGAACTCTGTATCTTATGCTTGCCAAGCCAGGCACTGTGCCACTGAGCTATAGCCCCGGCCTACCCTTCACCTTCTAGATCACTAGTTCCTTGAAGGCAGGGCCTGGTCCTACTCATGGATGTCCCCACACACTTAGCACGGTCTCGTGTGCATGGTTACTCCATCTGTGGGGTCAATCAGTAAGGTTTCAATGATGCTGTACACTTGGGTCATGCTTGGCAGCAAAGCACCTTCTGCCTGCCATTTCCCCCGAGGGCAGGAGGACACATACGAGAAAACTTGAGCCCTTACAGTCTGAGACCCATGGGCAAGTTTCTGTACCTGGCATGTGGCAGAGTCATGACTAGTGGTGTGGGCCCCTGTGACAGCTCACCCCGTGGAGGAAAAAGTGCCCTCTGCACTTAACTTTAACCACACTTGGTTTTGCACAGGTCACCACAAATGGCATCATTGCTATGAGCAAACCGCCTGCCGAAGAATCTCATCCTGGGCTCTTCCCATCCACCTTCGGCGCAGTGGCACCTTTCCTGACGGACTTGGACACAACTGATGGCCTCGGGAAGGTGTATTATCGAGAAGACCTGTCCCCCTCCACCGCTCAGCTGGCAGCAGAGTATGTCCAGAGGGGCTTCCCGAAGGTCTCTTTCCAGCCCAGCAGTGTGGTGGTGGTCACCTGGGAATCGGTGGCCCCCTACCAAGGGCCCAGCGGGAACCCTGCCCAGGAAGGCCAGGTAAGCACTGCCCAGGCATGAGTGCAAATGGTGTGACACGTTCACTTTATACTCTGTCCCCCTAGTGTAGGCACCATCCCTATGTTATTGATCAGGAAAGGAGATTGAAAGCAAAATAGACTAGGCTGGTCATTACAGGTATGCAACTTCCAGAAACTTCTCTGCAAGGATATATAAGTCTGTGTTTCAGTGAAGATCAGATGTAAACAAAGCCAGTTCCTGAGAAGATTCCTACACAACAAAAATAGGACTGGTAAATGGCAGCCCTGAGTGTTGGTCCTTGAATTGGCAGTGGAAGGCTAGCTTCTGATAGAGAAGTTACTACACCAGTGTGATTGGAAAGAATGGTGTGCTAAAGAAAGAAATGATCACAGTAAAAGCCACTTTGCTATTAACAGCCCCTACCTCCCATAACCTTCCTTACTTTAAACATGCTTATCCCATCATTCTTGCCACTTTCTGAAGCAGTTCTGGAAGTCTTCTCTCATGAGTGTCTTTAGGTGTGGCCAAAAATACAGTGAATGCTGTTGCCAAGTGCCATCCCACACAACAGAAAGGCACCCTCATAAAAGCATTTATTCACCACATCTGGCACTGTGCTGCTTCTGGCTCTTCCCTAAAATTAAGCGACCAAAAAAAGTAAACGTTTTGAATTGGTTCAGGACATAGAGGCACAACCAAAGACACTTGCAAAAGAGGACTTCCAGAACTGCTTCAGAAAGCTGAAGAAGGGTGGGATAACTGTGTTTGAAGTGTGTCTATATATGGGGTGGGGATATAGCTTAGTGGCACAGTGCCTGCCTGGCAAGCTGGAGGTCATGAATTTGATTCCTGGTACCAAAAAAAAAAACCAAAATGTGTGTGTGTGTGGGGGTCATATTTTGAGGGGGATTATTGGTAATGTGTCTTTTACTGTAATTAAAAAAATTAAATGTCTAATATTGACACAGTCTTAGAGAGAGTCTATTAGAGCTATACTGGAATGTGTGGTCCTTTCAGAATAAGATGGATGCTGCCATCAGCAGTACTTTTTATATATAGCCTGGTGAGTGGCATGTATTGAGACCCATGCATGTGTTGCTGGGTGACTGGATTTTCATTCTTCTCCACAGAGAAACACATTCCAGGCTGTTCTGGCCTCCTCGAATGCCAGTACCTATGCCATTTTCCTGTACCCCGAAGGCGGTCTGCAGTTCTACACGGCCTTGTCCAAGAAGGAGGGCAGCCAAGTGTCTGCTATGGTTGCTTTCAGCCAAGGTTTAGTGGGATTCTTCTGGAAGAGTGATGGAGTGTATAATGTATTTGCTAATGATAGCAAGTCACTCGAAAACTTGACCAGGTATGCTTTCTTCACGCCTCAGTAGGTTCTCCCTCTAATAGCGTTATTTTTTACGAATGAGAATGTAATATGCATTATAAGTCATTACCTAACAATGATCCTATGGATTTAAATTTTGTATCTAGTTAGGGTTTGTTTGTTGGGTGTTTTTTTGAGACAGAGTCTCGCTATGTAGTTCAGGCTAGCCTTGACCTCACTATAGAGCCCAGTCTGGCCTTAAACTCGGGACTATCCTCCTGCCTTAGCCTCCCAATAATTAGGACTTTTGTTGTGTGTTTGTTTTTTGTTTTGTGGTGCTAGAGATGGAAACTAGGCCTCGTACATGCTAGGCAAGCCCTCTACCACTGAGCTGTACCCCTAGCTTTCATCATATGAAATACTATCTCTGATGAGTATGAGGGAAAATACTCAGAATGAATAGGTATCCAATTTGTAGGTTTCATCCTTATTTAAAACAATTTTTACCATCACCTCTGTAAATATAAAGACATGGGTAAAGATCGTTCAAGTTTGTCTCCTTGCCAGGAACCAGGTGCGAGGAAAACCACTTTCTCTCCACAGCAATCAAAGGGGAACCCTTACAACACTGAGCATCACCCAGTAAAACAGTGTTCTCAGGCTGTGTTGTAGATTTGGCAGAAGGGGAGGAGCCCGGACTGATTTCTTTTTTTCTTTTTTTTCAGTACCAAGAATCGAACTCACAACCTCGTGCTTGCCAGACAGGCGCTGTGCCTCTGGGCTAAATCCCCAGCCCTGATTTCTTCTTTTAAATTAAAATCTTTCCTTTCCATTAGTCTTTAAGAAACAAAGAATGGCACCTCTAGTTTCCTGTTGTTAAATCTAGCCTAAAATGTGTCTGCCCTTAGTGCGATGCTGGCAGGTCCTTAATGTCTGGTTCTGTGACAGCAGGAGCCCTGATTCGTAGCACTTGGCTTATTTTTGTGGTGTAAATATTCTTCCCTTGATCAAATTCAGGCTGCTAAGCTGGCTGTGGTGGCATATACCTGTAATTCCAGCACTTGGGAGGCTGAGGCGGGAGGATCACTGTGAGTCTGAGGCCAGCCTGAGCTACAAAGTGAGTTCAGTGCCAGCCTGAACGACATAGTGAGACCCTGTCTCAAAAAGACCAAAAAGAATAAAAAAAGGTTAAGGCTACTAATGTTATGTCAGTCACTGCGGAGTTCTGAAAAGATGCACTATTATATTTTTTCTCCTTGCCATAAAGATACAATACACTTAAAGAACTCCAAGAACACAAATACTAGTAAAATTATTAGGAGAAAATGAGTTTTTGAGTTCTTTTTGCCTTTTAAAATACATAATTTAGGTGAACGTGGTGGCACACGCCTATAATCCCAGCACTTGGGAGGTTGAGGCAGGAAGAGCTTCATGAGTTTGATGCCAGCCTGGGTTACACAGTGATTTTAAGGCCAGCCTGAATTACACAGGAAGACCTTAAGAAACCAGAAGAAGCACACACACACACACACACACACACACACACACACACACATATATATAATTTGATTATAAGTTTAATTTAACTTTTTAACAATGTCTGTGTTTGATAACAGGTTTAGAAAATTCCTCAAACTTCATTGTGTAATCTGGTCACTTTATTTTTGTTTACTTACCTTCTGTTCCTTGATGCATAAGAATATTACTAATGAGAGTTGGGGATTAAGCTCAGTGGTAGAGCATTTGCCAGTGCATGTGAGGCCCTGGGTTTGATCCCCAGCACAAAACCAAACCAAAGACAGCATTAAAAATGATGAGGAAGTAGTGATAGGGTTATTCTGTAACCATACCCATTGAACACAGAAAGGTAAACTGAGGCCCGTCCAAGTTCCCCATCCAGTGGGGTTGAGGCTTTTAATTAACCCATACCTGCATTTGTTTCAGTCTCAGCTCTTCTGCCACCCAAGTTTGTGCAGTTTTTTCCCTCACACCTGCCAACTGGCCAGTTTTCTGGAGTTAATGTAGACCCCACAGGTACAGACAGGCCCTTCCCCACAAGACTGCACCCACCTCATTTGCTTGAAAGGCTCTCAGAACCCAGAAAGTGCCTAACTCTCACTAGTGTATCATAAAGCACACATCTCTGGAACAGCCAAAAGGAAAAGTCCAGGGTAGGTGCCGGGGAGGGCCACCCCCATCTCCAACTGTACCATTTAGGGATTTTTTTTTTTTTTCCTGGTACTGGAAATTGAACTCGCAACCTTTCACTTGCAAGGCAGGTGCTGTGCCACTGAGCTAAATCCCCAGCTCCCCCATTTAGGTTTTTTTGGCATTCCCATTAAGCACATGCAGTTGGTTAAATCATTGGCCGTTGGTGACTGATTGGTTCTCCAGCTGGTCTGACCTCCCTGGAGGTGGGGGTGGGGCTGAACCTGCCAACATCTGGTCTTGGATCTGAAATCTGGGCCTGTGATCATCCTTCCACCTGCAGCAGGTGGAAGCCGGCAGCCCCTAATCTGAGGCCATGAAGCTCCCCATCCCACTCAGCTCATTAGCATGCAAAACCACATTTATCACCTTGGAAATTCCAAGGGCTTGGGGAGCGCTTGTGTCAGCAACAAAGACCACCTGTGTATTTTGTGTTCCATGTACTCTGCTAGGGAAAGAGAACAGCAGCGAGAAGGAAAGCCTGGCCCATAAGCTAATAAGGTAGAGTACATAACCTAAGGTGGAGGGTGTCCTGCAGCCCGCCTCGGGAATGGCTGAGGGGGACCCTGTCATAGTGTTGTGCTCATTTGAATTCAGTGTACCAAGTAGCCCTGGCCGGTCTGCACTCTGTCGGCCGGGTGAGACAGCCACAGCCCTCGCCCTGCACTCAGCCCCACTGCAGGTGGACAGATGATCACAGGCCCAGGTTTCAGATCCACGCGGATCCCAAGGGCTCCTCCTGGTGGTGAATGGGACCACTTGAGGGCTGCAGGCCTGTTTTCAAGACTCCTTCCTTTCCCCTAGGAGCAGCAACTCTGGGCACCGGGGCGTGTGGGTGTATGAGATTGGGAGTCCGGCCACTGCCAAAGGTGTGGTTCAGGCGGAGGTGAACCTCGGACTGGACACCGGAGCAGACTATGAAGAAGAAGTCAATGATTATGACCAGATGACCACTCATCTTGGCGTGGAGGATGCAGCAACCCCATCTTTGCCCTTCAAGATTTCAAAAAGGGGAGACATTGACACATACGATGTGCCCCGTGCCCTCTCCCCACGCCATGAGGCTGCTGAGGGCTCCAGATCTTTCCAGTTGCCAGTGGAGAAGTTTCCCCAGCAGCAACCCCAGGTCATAGACGTGGATGAAGTGGAGGAAACAGGAGTTGGTAAGACTGTTTAAGGCGCAGCTTGCTGGGAATGTCCTTGGACACTTGGGTGTCCAGGAAGGAGTATCGTTATCCGAGGCAGGAGTTGTGTGCATCATGTGGTAGGTTGTAAGGATGAGAGCTTGGGGAGCAGGGCCTGAGAACTCACAGCTGTGGAGCACTGGTATGTAGGCTGATGGTTTGGCAGCAGCCCACTTAATCTTTTGGGATTAGGACTCTGGTCCTGGAGCTGTGGGGTGAGTCCTCTTTCAAGATTCCTTGTATTCCATTCTAATTTATTTATTTATTGTTTTTTTGAGATAGGGCTATATAGTCCAGGCTGGCCTTGAACCCAGGGTGATTCTCCTGCCTCAGCTTCTCAAATGCTGGGATTATAGGTGTGTGCCACCACCCATGGCTGTTTTATTTATTTATTTATTTTTACTGGAATTCAAACTCAGGACCTCGTGCTTGCCAGGCAGGCGCTTGTGCCACCGGAGCTATTTCCCCGGCCCTTTGGCTGTCTGTTTTATTTTATTTTATTTTATTTATTTTTTTTGGTTTTTCTCCGGTATCGGGAACTGAACTCACGACCTTGCGCTTGCCAGGCAGGCGCTTTGCCGCTGAGCTAAATCCCCAGCCCCTGGCTGTCTGTTTTAAAGAGAAAAATATTGTAGAATTATTTTGAAAGCCAACTTTTCTTATTTGTGACTTCTGAGGCCAGAAACATATTTATCCAGCTGAAAAAACACTTCAGAAATTCTTTTGGCTATTTCTGCAGCTTATCTTTGATATTTATTTCCTCTTAGTTTTGGAATTAGAATGACTGATTAGTTTTCCTTCCAGGTTCCGTTAGTTTGGAGCTGATCTATGAAGATTAAAAATACAAAATAACCAGGTTCCTTACAGAAAACACAGTTTTATGGAGATATTCTAGTCAAACATTATATATTGGGCTTTTCCTACAGTTTGAGGATGCTTTTAATTTGCCTTATAAGAGATGTTCAAACTAAACTGTGTTCATTATTTTTTTATCCTGAGGTTTCCATATAAAATTTACCCCCTTACTGGAGATTGATCCGTGCTCTACCACTGAGCTGCATCCTTTTGCTTTATATTTACTTTTGAATTTTGATTTTTTTTTTTTTATGTGTTTTTGAGACAGGGTCTCGCTCTGCAGTTTAGGCTGGCCTTGAGCTCACTTTGTAACCCAGGCTGGTCTTGAGCTTGCAATGATCCTCCTGCCTCAGCCTCCTGAGTGCTGGGATTACAGGGGTTAGCCACCATGCCCGGCCTTACTTTTTAATTTTGGGACAAGGTCTTGCTAAATTGCCCAGGCTGGCCTTGAATTTTCAATCCTCCTGCCTCAGCCTCCTGAGCAGCTGTGATTATAGGTGTGCACTACCATACCTTCTGATCCAAACTTCAAGCAAGTTTTTGATGACTTTTTACTGCTTCTGCTAAGAAGTTATCCCAAGACCCCCAGAGAAGTCCATATCCATTTCACAGTAGTCACGCATTTTTACTTCTTCCTTGTTCTGGTATTTCTCGTAGCAATGACCAGAAATACTTGTTCTTAGTGAATACCCCAGACCCTGGACAAGACTTTGTGCCCACTGGGTGATGTGTGCTGTCACTTCTGAGGCACAGAAGTGGAGAGACAGCCAGTTGGTGGAGGGTGCGCCCCTGCCCCCACACACCCTGCGCCCTGGATTCTGAGGTGATGCCCACATCTTTGAGTGTATGGCACTGTGCCGCAGGATACAGAGCCATCTCCCCCAAGTGCAGTGTGTGTTTACTTATAGGTGCTGAATTTGGAGTCTCATCTTGTTTCCACCTGGTCTGGATATCTCTGAAATTCTCATTTGTGAAACCACCACATTTAAGTGAAACCATAGTTAGTCTGAACAACTTAGAGCAGCATAATACTTGAGACTGGAAAATGCTTAGATTTGAACTCAAAATGAGCCTCTGACAGCCGTTTTTCTGTCCATATCCCGGTTATTTTGCTGTATCTATTAGAAAGGTCATTCTGTGGCCAGCAGCACATTCCTGATGTAATCTGGTTTCACCTTCAGCCATGCAGGCCATAGTGGACCTGCCAAGAGCTGGGGCTCCTGCAGTCAGCACACCACCATCAGATCCAAACACCATCCTTATCCACCCTGGAAATTCCCCGCAGAGAATGTAGGACTCAGAACCTGCTTGGGTTTACCTTTGCTTTAATCTTCACTCATAATGTCAGATACAAGCAGGATCACTATCCCCCTGAGAAAAGTTCACCCCTCTTTGGCTTTTGAACTTCATTCCAAATTAATTTGCTCTGAATCATTAAATGTAATGGTCTGTGATTCTAATGAAGTGAGCCTGGAAGGTGGAAATTTAAACCAGGGAGAGATTCCTTTTGATTCTTGCTCGAGTCAAAGGCTTTTAGACCAGATATAACTGAATGATTAAATCTCATCAGCTTTTGAATATCAGAGCTTCTGAATTATTCCCTGGGGAAAAGGGACAGATTCAAATTTAAACAAAAATTTAAGGTTGATAAAATAGCAAATTTGATGTTATATATGTTGCAACACAATAACAGAAAACAGTAAAAGGAATATACATTTGAAGTCCCCCCAAATGTGAAGCTGACTCTTCTGACCACATTGGATGGATGTCGTTATCAGACTGATGCTGGATGTCGACCACCTAATGTTGATGCAGCGACACCGAGGCCCCTGGGTGGTAGTAGTTTTTAGTAGCTCACACTGGTCATTTCTCACTGCTGTGGGACCTGTGTCCCACGGTGCTGTGTCACCGCCTCAGTAGCCATCAATAGTGGGCTCTAGTCTTCTGTGATGAGCCGGGTTCCGGGACCCAGGCAGCTGTGAGTCCTGCAGGGAGAAGCCTCCTGGCCTGGGGTGGTGTAAAGTGGCGACAGTGTGCCCTTGTTTCCCCGAGACAGTGTTCAGCTACACCACGGATTCCCAGCAGACGTGCGCCAACAACAGACACCAGTGCTCGGTGCATGCGGAGTGCAGAGACTACAGCACGGGCTTCTGCTGCCGCTGTGTGGCCGGCTACACGGGCAACGGCAGGCAGTGCGTTGCAGAAGGTAATTGGCTTCCATGTGTTCACTCGTGGGGACAAGAGTGCAGGTTTTGTCTTCATGCTTGTTTAGAAGTGTGGTCTTTGCCCAGAACTGGGGAGTGAACAGTTGTTGGTGGACTTTCATCTCTTGTCTCCTGTTCTTTGTCCTTCTCTGATGGGTGTTCCTTGGGAATATCGGTTTTCCAATTTGGTAGAGTCTCTTCCTTCCCAGCACTATTTTGTCATCACTGAGGTGATGATCACTGGGAGCCATCTTCACAGTTGCCCAGGCGGTCTGGGCCAGGGACTGTTCCCGCCCCTCCTTGTGCGCAGTTTCCTGTAACCTCTTCGGCGTCTCTGACTAGTTATATGTGGCACTGTTAGAGACCTGACTGTCTTGACAGTTAGGAAGCAGGACCAGAAGGCTGGCTTAGAGCAAAGTCTGCAGTGGGTCAGATTTGTTCCGGTCATTCTTCCCCCATTCCTGTTTCTTTGTGCCCCTGAAATTACAGCATGGCAGTGCTCGGGCTCCAAGGTGCGCTCAGCAGATCCTGAGGGCCAGACCCACAGTGGGGCCCACTCCCAAGTGGATTCCCTAATGGGCTGAGGTTAGCTTTCAACTCTGCCCCTCAAAGGACCAGCTAGCTGGTCTCAGTGCTCTCAGGTGCACATCTGAGATCCTGGTGACAGTTATCTCAGAGTGAGACCTCTGGGGCCACAGAGTAGAACCAAAAACAATTCCCATGATCCTTTGTCCTCCATGTGCCACCAGGTTGCCTCACTCCTCACAGGTCACTTTCCTTGTGTGGTTAATGAGGAATTTAAATTGCTTGTAAATTTTGATTAAAGAAAACCCCGTTGGAGAAATGTGTTCTGTTTCTTAGATTCCTTGCTCTAATTATCATTTAGTAAATTTTTTTAACTACCTTCAGCAATGAAAGAAAATCTAGCATACTCTTCATATTAATTTGGAGAATGTTTAGACTTCTTTAAAGTGTTCTCTTCCAAGTTTTCCCCCAGCCCCAGTGGTGTGCCTTGCTTCTTTGTTTTAGGCTTGGCCGTTTTACCTCTCCACCCTGTATGAGTTTTCCAAAATTCACAGCAAAAGCTAATTCTTAAGGAACAACCTCATTAGCTTTTTCCCTCCCAAATATCAGAGCCCAGCATGCCGAGCAGTTTGTTTGGCAGCAATCTCAGATCGCAAAGTGTTCAGCCACACATTCTAACATTATATGCTTGTCCTGTAATAGTTTTGTGGTTTAAATATTTGTTGGATTCTTGCTACTTAAAAAATTCTTTTCTAGCTCAAGTTCGGTGGAAAAAATTTTGTTTGGTTTCCTTCACTTGGCTTTCTTCCTTGTTTTTGTAATTGTTCTTGGGATGCATTTTTTTGCTATGAGCCTGCGAGCTTCAGAGCATTCCCCAGTGGGATGACACAGTGTGTGTGCGGAATTACTGTGTCAAATACTCCTTGGCTGCTCTGTGACCCTGTTTAACAGCTTGGAGCAATAGCTGACAGTGTGATCTTTACCTTAAACCTAAGCAGTCCAAGATGACCTTTGTTTTACCTTTTCCTTGAATTTTTGTTCATTTTTTTGAGATCTAATTCACCTACCTTTTAAATACATGTAATTTGATGGGCCTTAATAAAGTCACAGAATTGTGCAAAAATTATTTGTAATTCCAGAACATGGCCATCATTGCAGAAGCAAGCACTGTACGTACCCCTTAGCAGTCACTTTGCATTCCCCAGAATCCCCCTACCCTGCCCCAGTTTATTTTCTGGTTCCATGGGTTTTCCTCATTTGGAGATTTCATATCAGTGGAATCGTATGTTATGTGACCATTTGTGTCTGGCTTCTTTCACTGAGTGTGATATTTTCAAGTTGTGTCTGTATTGTAGCATGGGGTAGTGTTTTGTTCTTTCTCTCGCCATGTAATAGACGTTTGGTCTGTTCATCAGTTGATGAATATTTGGGTTATTTCCCTTTTTTGTTATTTTAAGTAAAGCTGCTAAGAACATGTATGTACAATTTTTTGTGTAGACGTATGTGTTCTGTTCTCTTGATTGTATACGGAGGAAGTGGAATTGCTGGGTCATACGGTAACCTTCAGTTTTCTTTTTTAATTACAATAAAAGTAACTCTTTCTTTCCTGTCTGTCTGTCTGTCTGTCTGTCTTTTTACCTTTTGCTACTGGGGACTAAATTCAGACCCTTTCCTCTGAGCAACATTCCCAACCCTTTATTTTTTATTTTAAGACAGGGTCTCATTAAGTTGCTAAGTTGCCCAGAGTGGGCTTGAGTTTGGGATTCTGCCTCAGCCTCCCAGAGTGCTGAGATTACAGGTGTGGATCACTATGTCTGCCTAACATCATATTTCTGGTTCTATTTTCCTGATTAGACAGTAAATATATGTGCACATTATACATATTCAGACATTTCACCATGTTGCCCTGACTCAAATGTTAGCAGTTTTCCCCTAGGTATATTGCAAGAGAGAGGGAGTGTTCTGAGGGGGATTAATGTCAATGTGTCTTCTACTGTAATAAGGTTTTAAATTTATTTATTTGTTTTTGGGGTAGGGTCTTGATATGTAGTTTCAGGCTGGCCTCAAATTCACTATGTACGCAACGCCGGCTTTGAACTCACAGAAATCCTCCTGCCTCTGCCTCCCAAGTGCTAGGGTTACAGGCATGTGCCACCACGCCCCACCAAGTTTTTAAATTTAATGTACGCCATATATTTCAGTCACCGTTCAGGAAGCTGACGGCAAAGCACATCACTTTCTTTGTTTTCTGGCTCAGGCTCCCCACAGCGTGTCAACGGCAAGGTGAAGGGCAGGATCTTTGTGGGCAGCAGCCACACCCCTATAGTCTTTGAGAACACAGACCTCCATTCCTACGTGGTGATGAACCACGGGCGCTCCTACACGGCCATCAGCACCATCCCCGAGACCGTCGGCTACTCCCTGCTTCCTCTGGCGCCCATCGGAGGCATCATTGGATGGATGTTTGCTGTGGAGCAGAATGGATTCAAGAATGGCTTCAGCATCACGGGTAATTTATATCTGAAGTTAGTCAATGGGCCCCGCAGCAGTGCCTGGGGGAGGCCTGGGCATACAGAGGGAACTGTGTCTGCAGATGCTTTCTGCTAAGCATTTTGTCTGTGGATGGAGGACCTTGTGTTCTGCCCTGGAAATAGAGGAAGACGTGAAATTAACACGTACTAAATTCATTAGTGGAGACTGCCGAGGCGTGTGCTTGGTGGACGAGCAATGTTGGGCATGAGAATTAGAACTATGATGTCAGCTTCTCTACACTCACAACCAGATCAGCATCAGGTGCTGACGTTTGACATCTCAGTATCAGCTCAGAGAAGAGGAATCTGCCACTTCTGGTTGGCAAATCAAACCTGATACACATCACCCTCCTGAGTGTTAGGAAACCCTGGGAGCTCTTAGAGGCTGTCTTTTGGGACTAGGGTTGGACAGATGTGGACAGATGATTTGGGGGGTTATGTCTTTGTGTCATGGTTGCCCCTCCGTCTTCGAAAGCCAGTCCCCTGTGTGTGTCTCTGCGGCCCATTCCTGGGAACAGCTGCAATAGCAGAGGCTGTTTCCTCTTCTTGTTTCCGGGACCTGCAGCTTGCCTCTGACTCCCTAAAGCTCTGACCCCGCTGCCTAGCTTCATCCAGGCCACTGCTGAAGTTACTAGTTTAAATGCATAACTACCTAAGTGTGGACGTTTTGTTACAGGGGTGATATCAGAACCTCCTAATATGATGTAAGGGAGATACAACTCCCAACCTGTTAGCTGTTTGTTAGGCCGAGTTTGTGTTCTCTAAAAATTGAAGAATGAATTCTAGGAACAACGGAGGTTAAGAGTAGGAAATATTTATTGAGAGATAGTTCCTGTCAGGAACAGGAGGGGGCCCGAGTGGTTTGACCGAGGACCCCACTTTACAGGGAAACTTCATAGAGCAATACACCTGGGCACAATGTAGGTTACAGCTATGCTTAACCTTGTAAGTATAGCTGCTTAGGTAATGGTGATCCAGCGGGGAAGCAAGTCACGTAGTGAGTGGGCATGGAAAGAACAAAGACTTTTTCTAGGAAATGATGGGTCTGGAGGTCTTGGTCACCCACTGGGTGACTGACAACTACCTAGACTTCATTGGGCCTGGTGTTTGTCCTTTGAGGAAGTATATAAGCCTAGTCATTTCCTTTTTATCTTGAGGCCTGATATCCAGCAGAGGTATCTCCGGCCACAGTTGAGCAGGTTTCACCTTTGTCCTGGTTCTCTCAAGGCCATAGCCCTATCTGAATGCTTACAATATTTCTGCCTGCCTTAGCTGTTTGTAATAATTTTAACAAAAGAGAAGATATGTATTTGAAAAGGAGTGAATCTTCGCATCAGACTTGCTATGTTTCGGGCCAGTGTTTTTTCTCACTAGCCATGGACATAAGTATTTGGAGTATCAGAACCACATCCATGCTCTCATGCAAGCTCCAGGCATTGTGCAGATGTTTCTGAGCTGCAGCCAGAGTCACAGGGCTGCCTCTTCCCTGCATGGCTTCCTCAGGGACGTTGCTCTGCATGTGGGTGAGGGACACGGTAGCACAGGGGAGAGTCTTTCACATTCACTACTTAGCAAATGTTTGTTACCTGGGGACCCTCTGTAAATTGCCCCGAACCTGTGTTATCAGTCGGACCCTTGAAACTTGGTCAGGTTCTGTCTGCAGAGGGACAGAAAGTAAACATTTTAAGCTTTGTCTGAATATTTTAGGTTATCTGGTCTCTGTTGGTACTACTCAGCTCTGTCATTGTTGAGACAAAGTGACCAAATACAATGTGTAAATGGATGAGTCTGACTGTGTTCCAATAAAACTTGATTAATGGCCACTTGAAATTTAAATTCCATGCATTTTCCTTTTTTTGCATTTTCCACTTTTTTTTTTTTGGTAGTAGTGATTGAACCCAGAGCTTCTGCACTGAGACTTTATTTTTTTATTTTGAGACAGAATCTTCAAAGTTGCTATGTTGCCAAGGCTCGGCTTGGACTTGCGATCCTCCTGCCTTAGCCTCCCAGAGTGCTAGGATTAGGTGTACTATCATGCCCAACTTTACAGATTCTTATATCAATTATTTTAACCATTTAGAAATATAAAGCTGATTTTTAGCTCTCAAAAGCCACACAGAAAGGGCTCTAGTTTGCTGATCCCCATTATAATGAGTGCCTGCTCAAGAGGGAAGAAACTAAACAGAGGGACAGCATTTTCCTGTTTTCCTAGAGCTGCAGTCCTACCCCTCACCTCTGGGCACCTCTGTTTCCTGCAGTCTGTTGTGCTGGGCAGAGCACATTGCTGCCGCCTCCGATTCCCTCATCTGACTTTGATAGTTCATCAAAGGGAGATCCTGAGCCAACAGCTCCTAGGACGGTTTTTGGTACTGGTGATAGGTTGCCGTGAGTTACTGGCCTGTCCTGACCAAGACTTACTGTTTTAGTAATTATTACCATAACTGCCGTCATAGAACATTTGACAATTTTTTCTTGGAGACAAGTTCTTTCTAGGTAGTACATTTGCTATGTAGCCCGGGCAGGCCTTGAACTTGGAATCCTCCTGCCTCAGCCTCTCAAGCGCTGGGATTACAGAGCATGCACCATCATGTCTGGCTTCAAGAATTTTGGAGCACACTTATCTCCTCTTATTTCTGCAAGGTGGATTGTATCTCTTTTTTGTCACCAGCAAATTGAGGCTCAGAGGTGTTAAGCCACTTATTCAAGTTCACTCAGCCAATTCCTAGTATAGCATAGTGCAGTGATGGTGAACCTTTTAGAGCTTTCAATGATACAAACAGCCCACTGTTTCATGCATACCATAGATAGGTTCACCACCATTGGTACAGAGTCAGACCCAAGGCCGATGCTATTTTCTGGGACAACCCCTGAGCCAAGCATCTTCTGGAAGCAGCTTCTCTTCTCTCTGCTTGCATCACGTGGACCACGTGGCTGTCTAGGCTCTGTTCTCAGTGTCACCAGCCCCATGTTTTATCAGTCATGCGTTGGCACTGTGAGCCTGGGCCAGGCAGGAGGGTTTGCCAGCTAGACAGAGTAACTCACAGGCTCTTCTTGCTTTTGCAGGGGGCGAGTTCACCCGCCAGGCTGAGGTGACCTTCGTGGGGCACCCGGGCAAGCTGGTCATCAAGCAGCAGTTCAGTGGCATTGATGAGCATGGGCACCTGACCATTGACACGGAGCTCGAGGGCCGCGTGCCACAGATCCCAGCCGGTTCCTCTGTGACCATCGAGCCCTATACAGAGCTGTACCACTACTCCGGCTCTGGTGAGTCGTCCCTGGGGACATCCCTGCCCTGCATGCTGCCACACCCTGGTGGCCTCCTGGACCTGAAGCTATCTCCAGGGCTCAGGGAGGAAACAAACACAAGGCCTTCTGCATAGGCACACTTGTAGAGAATTTCGTGGGAGGCAAAAAGTAAGCCTATAAGAATTGTAAAACTTGGAGGTAATTTATTAAATCTCCAGCACCTATCTTTATTCAGGTTAAATTTCCCAGCATGTTGTATAATCTATCATGAGGCATTTTCTTTTTATTTCTGTGACACTGCAGTCATGTGTCATTGTTAAATCATCTTTTTAATTAATATAAAATCATGAATATTGAATAGTTAACTAAGTAGGCATTGACTTTTTTTGAGATAGGGTTTCACTATGCAGTCCAGGCTGGCCTTGAACTCAGCAATCCTCCTGCTTCAGCCTCCCTAGTGCTGAGATTACAGGCGTGTACAACCATGCCCAGCATGAAGACTTTTTTTAAGGAACTGTCTGATTTTGTTGGATGGCTGTTGATTTAAACTGTTCTCCTCTTTCCTAAAGTTTAGGCTGCTTTCAGTTTTACCCACTCATTCTGAGTTGAAACGACCATCTTTCTTGATCAAATTGTTTGTTTTCAGAGACTCAGTTCCTAGAAACAGCCACTAAGTCAAACAGTAGACTTTTTTTGTATTTTAAGGTACTAGGGATTAAACTCTGCCTCCATCCAGAACTTCATGCTCAGCCTGTTTTTTTTGTTTGTTTGTTTTTTGTGTTTTCCGGTACCGAGAATCGAACTCATAACGTTGCTCTTGCCAGGCAGGCGCTGTGCCACTGAGCTAAATCCCCAGCCCCTCAGCCTGTTTTTTTATTCTTTATTTCAGTCTGGTTTTATTTTTGTTTTGTTTTGTTTTGTTTGTACTGGGAATTGAACTCAGGACCTTGTGCTTGCCAGGCAGGTGCTCTGCCACTGAGATATAACCCCGGCTATTCTATATTTTGAGACAGGATTTTGGTTGAGTTGCCCAAGGTGACCTTAACCTTCTAATTTTCCTTCCTCAGCCTCCCAGGGTGCTGGGATTACAGTTGTGTGCTGTCGCTGTACCAACCTAGCCACTGTTTTGTTTTGTTTTGTTTTGTCTTTTTGAGACAGAGTCTCACTATGCACTTCAGGCTGGCCTTGAGCTCACTTTGTAGCTGAGGCTGGTCTTGAACTCGCAACGACCCTCCTATCTCAGCCTCCTGAGTGCTGGGATTACAGGCATGTGCCATCACACCTGGTTTAGCCACTGTTTAAAAGCTTGCTGTCCAGAAAGGTTGTGCAGATGTGACTTGGTGCGGGTGGGAGCCAGGGCAAGGAGCAGATGGCCTCTCTGGAAACTGGTACATGAGAGCTGGACAGGAGCAGCTTACACTGATCTTTTATTTATTCTCTGGCTTTCGTGCTTCTATTTTAGAGCCAACTGTAGAAGAGGACAAGGATATAATGAGTCTTTCATACATTTTTTTCAAATAGGAAGTTGAAGATTTTTGTTACGTGGGCAAATAACTGTATTCTCAGTGAGGAAGACTGTGATTCTCTGCTGAGGTTTACTCATGATAATTTTTCCAAAATTGACTGCTAAAACCCATTTAAAGTTTCATTTTTTAATGTTACAGAATGGTTTACTGTAAGGTGATTTGGAGCAATCACAATTTATTAACTGTAAGTAAAATAACTTGCAGAAGGCAGTAAAGGCTCAATAAATAGTACTTGATCCATCTGCTTGATGCCACACCTTTTACATATGTGACCTCATCTAATCTTCACTCCTCCCTGTTTTGAGAAAGATCCTGAAGCCAAAGCTGATAGTAACAGCTGTGTGGTCACGCATACCGCCTGCAGGTAGTGTGAGGAATGAATTTGGGTGTTATCTCCTCCAGAAAATGCTCTTTCCTCCAGACCTTGGTCTCTCTTTCTGGGAGTCCTAGGAAGTTCTGGAGAACTCCTTTTTTTGTTGTTGTGTGTTTGGTTTTGTTTTTCTTCCGGTACCAGGAATTGAACTCATGACCTTGCGCTTGCCAGGCAGGCACTTTGCCACTGAGCTAAATCCCCAGCCCCTGGAGAACTCCTTTATGTGTAAAACACATATTAATAATGCAGGATCTTTATTAGAGTTTTCTAGGCGTTCTACAACCCTCTTTTTCAATTGCTGAAATTGTCTTTATTAATAGGAGTAATTTTAGAGCATAGTATTAACCATAAAGGATATTCATAATTTGAAATAATAAGTGGTATGTGTTCATTTGGTGTTCAAGGGGAAATCAGAGTAAGTAGAGTGAGGCCTAATGTTTATAAACGTGCTTGATAAACCCACGAAGTATATTGAGAATATTGTCTCTCTGCATCATGTTAACCTTTGTATCTAACGTGACTGTGAACCAAATTGTGAAATGACAATCGTGAATGGTTGTGTTATTTTAACTGATGCAGCATATTCAGCCAATAAAGACTCCATCTTTGCTTCATAGTTTAAAAAAAATGCAAATACTACCAATGGTGGTGTGGGAAATCCAGGAAGCCGCATGACTCCCAACCCTGATAAACTCTATTAAACTGTTGGGCACAACTGCCGCCCGCTGCATTGTGGGCAGGGAATGCCACTGATGGTTCCAAAGCACGAGTACCTCTGTAAATATCTCTCTTCTGTCTCTTGTCCTATCCCCTCTTGCCATGCTGCACCCCAGTGATCACTTCCTCCTCCACCCGGGAGTACACGGTGGCCGAGCCTGAGCCAGCCGGGGCGGCACCGTCACACACCTACATTTACCAGTGGCGCCAGACCATTACCTTTGAAGAGTGCGTGCATGACCCAGCGCGGCCGGCCCTGCCCAGCACACAGCAGCTCTCCGTGGACAGCGTGTTCGTCCTGTACAACCAGGAGGAGAGGATCCTGCGCTACGCCCTCAGCAACTCTATCGGGCCGGTGAGGGGTAAGGAGCAAGCTCTCACCCTCACTCATTAAAACCCTGCTCTTTGACTTGGGGTTTTGGTCTCTTTCCATCTATAGAAGAAAATTATGCTAAAATATCTTCTAAAGAGAAAAACAATATCTTGCCCCATGTGATTCTTAAAAAACCTCCCTGCTTCTGTTTAAGCAAAGGGCTGATCCTATCCCGTACATGGGAGGGAAGAATGCTAGCCTTGTGAGTTTCCTTACAGAGACGACCAGCCTGAGGATGCTGCTGGCTTTGGCAGACCTTCTCTTGAAATTTATTTTTAAGTGGTACGTGAACAATTACCCATATTTATGGGCTGCAGGATAGTTAATTAATTTCAACACATGTATATGATGTGTAATGATTAGGTCAGGATAATTGGCATCCCTCAAACATTTATCATTTGTGAGGAGAACATTCAAAATGCTCTCTACTGTTTTGAAATATACAATTAATTGTTGCCAAACATGGTTATCCCATTGTGCAATACAATGTTAGAAGTCATTTCTCCCGTCCAGCTACCCCCGCTTCTCCTGCACCCATTAAGTAGTCTCTCTCAGCCCTCTCTCCCCGCTACCCTGCCCATCCTTTGGTAACTGCTGTTCTACTATCTGCTTCTTCTTTTGTCTCAGGACAGGGTTTCACTTTGCACTTCAGGCTGGCCTTGAATTCACTTTGTAGCCAATGCTGGCCTCAAACTCACAGTGATCCTCCTGCCTCAGCCTCCTAAGTGCTGGGATTACAGGCATGAGCCACCATGCCTGGCTTTACTGTCTGCTTATATCAGATCAATTTCATTAGCTCCCACATTTATGTGAGATTATAGGGTATTCATTTTTCTGTGCCTGACTTATTTCATGTAACATCCTCTACACTCATTCATGTCACAAATGACAGGATTTTATTCTTTTTAAAGTCTATATAGTATTCCATTGTATGTAATATACTACACTGTCTTTATTCTTTCAAGGGAGGGCTCAAAAAAACTCTCAATACTCCTATTTTGAAAGGAACTGTGTACTTTGGGCCTAAGAAATCTAAATAAAACCAGGCACAAAGACAAACTCTCACCCTGGGGACTGCACATTAGGGTGTCTTAGTCACTTTTTCTCATTGCTGAGACAAAATGCCAAGCACCCAAAGTTAAAGGAGAAAAGGGTTTTTTAGCTCACAGTTTGTAGAGGTTTCAGTCCATGATCTCCTAACTCCAAGGCAAGGCAGCATGGCAGTGTGTAGAGGTGAAATAGTCCACAGCAAGCAGGCTGGTGAGGGCACATTAGCCCTCTTTTTGACCTTTACATTTTATGTAGGCTACCTGCCCTAGGGCGAGTGTAGCACTCACACCCTTAATTCTATCCAAAACTGTGCCAAACCCATTAGTACCCTGATTTAGTAATCATACATCCTAGATCTGGCCCCCTGTGAAAGCCCCTCATCCCATGACTGCGTGAGGCCTTGAGCGGACATCTAGATACAAGCCATAACGTAGAGGTTTTGTGATGCATCACCTTCTGACTTCCCATCGACCCCATCTGCATGTCTGGGGTCCTTATAATCGGGGTCTGTTCTTTTCTCAGTCGTTTTGGCTCCTCCCCCTTACCCACTGTACTTCCCCAGCTGACCAATCTGTCCTTACTCTAGCTCTGTCCGGCAGGAGGAAGGCAGTTGTGGTTCCCCCCTTTGACAGCTGTGGCTCCAGGGATCAGCGATCAGCTTTTCTTTTCTGAAGGATGGGGTGGTGATACTATAGCCTTTGCCAGCCCTCTTTATCTCAGTTCTGCCATGGTCACAAGGAAGCAGCCTGAGACCACATGGAAGCAGAGGAGTATGGCTGGTTGCCAGTAAAACATTATTTACTGAAACAGGGAGTGGGCAGAGGAACCTGGTTCGCCGGTCCCACCCACGGCTGACATGAGTGGTCTCCTGTGGCTTGCTTTCGGGGAAGGAGGAGCCCTGCGGGAGTTCCTGGGCACTGACTGCTTCCCGCCTCTCTCGCTTCACAGAGGGCTCCCCTGATGCCCTTCAGAACCCTTGCTACATCGGCACTCATGGCTGTGACACCAATGCGGCCTGTCGCCCTGGCCAAGGGACCACGTTCACCTGCGAGTGCTCCATTGGCTTCCGTGGAGATGGGCGGACCTGCTACGGTACAGCCTGAGACTGTGTCTGGGATGTGGAGGGCCGGGATCGCTCGTGGGAGGTCCCTCCTGCAGTCTGGAGCTGGGGTGGTGAGGAAGCGTGGGAGTCAAAGTCTGAAGGTTGACCTCTGCCTGAGCTGTTCATGCACCCGCTGGCCCCTACCTGAAGTTGGGAGTTAGGAGTAGTGGCTCCTTCCCATCGGATGAAGGACTCCGATCGCAGGACAGAATTCCATTCTCTGCTCCAGGTTTAAAGGGAAACAAAAGTCAGAGTTGTTGCTAACTCTAGGAATATAAGTGTAGTTGGGATTTACCCTGTAGCTGTGATTCTGTAATATATCCAGGCTCTGTTTCAAAATGGGCTTCACAAACACCATTTTTTTTAATGCTACAACATGGAATGAGAGATTGTTTTACACCTTTTTTTTTTTTCAGTCCAGGCTGGCCTTGAGCTCTCTTATGTAGCCCAGACTATTTCGAACTCAGTGATCCTCCTGCCTCAGCCTCCAAGTGTTGTGCTATACACCTGTTTATTTTAAAAGTTATATTTAACATTTAACTATATTTAAAAGGTAACATAAATTTTATCTTTTTTTTCTTTTGTGGTACTGGGGATTAAACCAAAGACCTTTGCACTGATCTATATCCGCATTCCCCCATCTCATTTTAAAAATTTTTTTAGGGGCTGGGGATTTAGCTCAGTGGCACAGCACCTGCCTGGCAAGTGCAAGGTCATGAGTTCGATTCCTGGTACCGGAAGAAAAACAAAACAAACAAAAAATACAATAAAAATTTTTAAAATTTTTCTGTTTTTAATTTTTCCTTTTTGGTACTAGGAATCGAACTCAGGACCTTGCACTTGCCAGGCGGGCTCTGTGCGCTGAGCTATATTGCTAGCCCAAAAGTTTTTTATTTTGAGACAGAGTCTCAGTAAATTACTAAGTTGCCCGGGCAGAGCTTCAACTTGCATTCCTCCTGCTTCAGCCTACCAGAGTGCTGGGATTGCCAGCATATGCCACCACACCTTGCAAAATTTATCATCTTAACTATTTGTAAATGGGCAATTCAGTGATACTAAGTGCATTCCTATTGTTGTACAGACAGTACCACCATTCTTCTAGAACTGTTTAAGTCTTGCACAACCAACTCTGTGTTTTTTAAACAGAGGCTCCGTACTCTCCCCGCAACCACTAGTCTGTTTTACTTTCTGTCTGTATGAATTTGATGGCTCCAGAGACCTCCTGTGAGGAGAATTTTGTGACTGGCTTATTTCACATAGTACGTTGTCCTCAAAGTTCATCCACACTGCTGCATATGTCAGAATTTTTTTAAGGTTGAATAATTCCACCACATTTTCTTGATGGATACCTTTTGGCTCTTGCAAACAGTGCTGCTATGAACACAGGTACATGAATACCCCTTGAATTCCCTGTGTTCATTTCTTTTGGGTCTATACCCCACGGAAGATTGCTGGATCATACTGTAATTTTGTGTTGACTTTCTTGAGGACTCTCCATACTGTGTTTCACCTGTAGTGTGCGAGGGCTTCCATTCCTCCATGTCTTTGACAGCACTTGCTGTTTTTTGTTTTCGTTTTGTTTTTGTATCAACCAGCCTGACACATTGAAGTAAGCCAGTGACAAAGAATATTTTAACCAGAGCCTCTGTCCTAAAGATCTGTATTTCTCTTCCGTGTGCTTCCTTTATTGTTTATAATTCAACTTTAATATAGATCACCTGGTATTTATATGTCACTGAATTTTTAGTGCATTTCCAAGGGGCAATTAGTCCCTTTACCAGGAGCAAAAATGCCGAGCTGCTTACTTAGATCTGCGCCAGAGGACTCACTACGAGGAGGAGGGATCTAAAGGTTAGATTCCTGGGCGAAGGAGGAAGTTTGGCCGGCAAGATGGGCTGCTGCCACCACCCTTGCTTGACTGAATAATACAAATCTGGAAGCCCCGCTGCCTTGGAATTTGGGGATGATGCCTTAGGTGTGGAATTGTCTTCCACTGACTAATGGTGGACTTGCTGGGCTGACGTACACTGCAGGCGGCAGATCCTGAGCAGGGTGTTGCGTGATTTGTCTCAGAGTGACGATTCCATGCAGGGTGCTCATCAGGATACCTGAAATGTTGGAGAGCAGGGTCTTGGGCTCACAGAAGCAGTTGTATGACTGTTTGGAAGCTTGCTGATACCTTTGGACCTGTGTTAGAATTCATCCTGAGACTCATCTTCCTGGCAACACAGCACTGCATTGGGGACATAATGCTGTCTCACTGGGTGATTGTCAGTTGCCCAGGAGTTCTGTAGGGTGTGTGACAGTCTCAAATGGCTGCTCTGGCTCCGGACATTTCCAGGTTTCAAGCAGAATGCCTCTGTGTGTGTGTGTGTGTGTGTGTGTGTGTGTGTATCCCTTCCAGACTGCACAGACAAGATACGGATGCAGGCGACACCCGCCTTCACCTCTCCATACCTCCCCTGTCTGTGCAGCTCTACTTCATACTCGTAAGCCACCTGTGCGTTAGTGCTGTGTGGCGATGACCCAGCCTGCTGCTGCTGACCTGCAGCCTTCCTCCCGATGCCGCCTCGGTGCCTGAGCTTGTCACAGGTCGCGCTTCCCTTCCGAAGGAGCAGCCAGTCTTGCCTTACACAGTGTGCTGTGTCCTAGGATAGTCTTGGCTGTCCCTGCCCAGGCAGGCAGGCAGGTGGTCATGGGTGCACTGGCTTTTGTTTGGTGACCAGCCATTATTCTGGGATATTAGCTCCGAGGAATGTGGGGATATTCCCAGCAGGCTACTTATTGTTCTAGGTCACTAGAACACGCCTCCCAGCATTATTGCCTCAGGACACGGGCTTTCATTGGAAATCGCATTAAACAGATCACTTCTCATGTGGTTTTCACCCAGGCAGGGCCTTTGAGGAGAGTGAGGATGAACTTCTGTGATTCAGTGTGTGCACTGTTGACATAATGATGTGTGACATGCACAGCAGGGCTGATTTGGGCCAGACATCTCACAATGGACCTTCTGTGGAGGTTGGAGATTTCCAGTGGGACTGTGGAGCTTTGGTCATTTGGGGTGTGTGGCAGAGTGGTGGCTGTATAGTCCTCAATGTGGAACTGTAGAGGCAGTTCTGGATACCCTCTCACCAAACAATGTTTGAGTCTTTGGAAGGCTCACAAATCAGTCAGACTCTTCAAAGAGCCGGACCCTTATAAAAGGGACACATTAAAGAAACTGAGTTGTTGAAAATTTGTGAAAAGTAGCCGCTCTGAAAAGACTCAGAAAGATAATTCTAGTTGAGCACAGTGGCACACACCTCTAACCCCAGCACTCAGAGGCTGAGGCAGGAGGATTGCCAAGGGTTCAAGGCCAGCCTGGGCTACATAGCAAGACCGTGTCTCAAAAATAAAAACTTCTTTCCATTGAATCCTATTCAGTAGCATTTCCTGTTGGGCTAGAGAATGATTGTGCAAAAGGAATCTCCTTCCTGAGAGGCTAGACAGATGTTGAATAATAAGAATTATGATCTTTCAATGGATACAAGAGACCGTTGTCCTAGTTACCAGGTCACTATTTCCATTAAAGGAGTTAAGGTCCTGGCCTCAATTTGCAGAAGAGATTTAAATAACACACACAAATTCCCAGACTGCAGGAACCACAAGATATTAGCAGGAAAATTGTTAGGAACTTTCTAGCAAGACCTGGGTATCACCAGCCTGGCCTCATATGTGTAAATTTTTGTGGCACTGGCGCCCTGGCTTGGAAACCATCCCTTCTCCTGAGATGCTGTTTGTCAACTGAGGTTCTGGAAAACTGTAGGCTGGGGAAGGTCCTGGTGCTACAGTTTCCTCTGCGTAAGTGTCCTAGGAAGAGGGAGCTTGGAAAACTTCCCTTGGTGATTTTGCTCTGTCCTCTTGATTGAAAACTGCTGCTCTGTTCTCTGGGTTGTTAGTCTGAGTGCTTGGCCCCGCAGCCCTATCCTGGCCGTCTGTGGGAGAATCCTCCAAGAGATGTAGGGCAGAGGCGGTGGGCGCGGAATGATGCTTCCTTACCGGTGGAGCAGCGGCTGGCACACAGCACTGTGAGGCCCACACTTGCTGCATGATCCATGTCTTCATCTCTGGCTCAGCTCATAGAGCCCTCAAGCTAGGCCTGGCACAGTCCTGTGTCTGAGATCCTGTCATAAACACATCACTCTCACACATGTTCACACACACACACACAACAGTATATCTTCAGAGGATTGAGTAGCATTTAGTTTGGGTTTTGCCTGGGCATGAGACAAACTGAGCTGATGTGGCAAGAATGCTTGGCTTGTGTAGTGTTATCCAAGAAGCCACAGAGACTATTGTCTCAGCAGTAAGGACCTGGCCAGGCTGGCCATCGGAGAGGACACTGGAGACTGTGCTGAGTGTGAAAGACATTTTAGAGTGCTGGGGAGGGGGCTCAGGGGCGGGAGCTGAATGGTCTCAGCGGATATAAAATCTGCACACGCGTCTTGGGAGGAGCTGTGTACATGCTGAGTGTGAGGAGGACCTCACTTTCAGTGCAGCCCCTCAGTGGACAGAAACCAGGGTAAGGGGAGGTTAGCTCTGTTTCTTTGCTCGTGGTAGCCATAGACTGGCCCTCCCAAAGCCTGGTGCTTTTCTGAGGGCTGTGTTCCAACCATCCGCATCATTATGGCTGAGGGTTTAGGAGGAATGCCTAATAATTACAAGAATATCCACATGTTGAACATACTAGCCTTTATTTTCTGTAATCCTCAGAAGAATGCTCAGGATGAGTATTATGCTTATTTAGCAGTGGGGAAACTGAGGCTGAGTAGCTAGGTCACTTGCCTAAGACCACACAACTTAGTAACTAAAGGAGGCGGGCTTTGAACCTAGCTGGGTTCAACTCTAAAAGCACATGTTTGAAAACGTGCATTCCATCATTGTGATAGCTGTAGTATTGTCACATGATGGGACGTCACTCCACTACTTCATTCAACTCTTACGACTTATCGACTTTTATTTTGGTCTATTAAGCTTTAGGTAACATTTAGAAATATACAATTAGGCATTAAACTGTCAAACTTCTGTGTGTAATTGTACTTGGAGAAAGGTTTGATTTTATTTTGTTTGGGTGTTGGGATTGAACCCAAAGCTCATGCTGAACTACATTCCCAGCCCTTTTAAAACATTTTTTATTTTGTGGAAGGATCTTGCTAAGTCACTAAATTGCACAGGCTGGGCTTGAACTTGTTATCTGCCTGCCTGTTTCTCCCGGAGGGCTGGGATTACAGGCCTCCACTACCATGCCTTATGAAAGGTCATAGTTCGAGCAGCAGTGTATTCAAATACCCTGTCAAATTTAGGACCCTTATCCAGAAACCAGGCACTTGTCTCTGTGTCCTTCAGATGTGTCTTTGCCCAATGATGTGAGGGGCTCATTGGGACAACCCCAGCCTCAGCAGCTTGCTCTGGGAGAGGAGGGAGAAGCCCTCGCTTGCTTAGCAAAGGGATCTGGGGAGTTACTTTCTAAAGTTAGGCACAGGAAAAGAAATGTTTTATTTCACACTACTCTGGAGATAGAGAAAAATGTATCTTAATATGGATCAACTGTCGGGAACGTGCTCTCTGTTCTTTATACTCAGTGATCTTTGAAGAGGTTGAAAAGAGTGTGCATTCTTAAATAATTTCCTGCAGATATCGATGAGTGCTCAGAGCAGCCCTCCGTGTGCGGGAGCCAAGCGATCTGCAACAACCAGCCGGGCACCTTCCGCTGTGAATGTTCTGAGGGCTACCGCTTCTCAGATGAAGGCAAATGTGTGGGTAAGTTCTCTGGGCAATGCTTCAAAATGTGTTCCTGCTGTGTGCTGGCTCTGTGGTGTAGTAATCCTAGCCGAAAAGAAGAAGGAGCTGGGTTCTGCCTTTTGGAAGGGCAGTTTACAAAGGCACATGAGACCTAATTCGCCTCCCCTTCCCCCGCCCCCCTACCTAGAGAGTCAGGGCTGCAAGGAGTGAGCCATGTGCTTTACACTGGCAACATCATCGCCTCATTTGTTGTAAATTTTGTCTTGCATTTGCTTCTTTCTTGTGTGTGTGTGTGTGTATGTGTGTGAGAGAGAGAGAGACTGTGGATTGAACCCAGAGCCTTTGCATTGAGCTACATCCACAGCCCATTTAAAAACTTGTACATTTTAAGACAAGATCTCACTAGGTCCCTAAATTCTCCAATCTGGGTTCAAACCTGGAATCCTCCTACCTCAGCTTCCCAGAGCGCTGGGGTTACAGGCATGTGCCACCACACCCAGCACTGTTAACAAACTTTTAATCATTTTCACGATAGCAAAAAGCTATGAGATTTGCCTTTCCCTTGTAATTTTTTAACCTTGAGAATCATTCTGAAAGGCCACCTCCCAGGGACTTTTATGCTATTAGCTGTTTTAGTCTGAATTCTACCTAAATTACGTCTAAAATTCCCTTTGGAACCACTCTAAGTCACAGCATAATTTCTTAGTCTTTCTGAGGTAAGTTAATACTGCAGTGTTAATTAGGCTAATGATGCTCTTAGTTGATTATTTTGGTGATGATGATTGTGGGTCAGCCGCAAAGAGCCAGGTTGTTACTTTTACCTTGTATTCTACTGCTGCGCATTGACAATGGTTCCAAGAATTTCAAGTTCAAAGATTCTTGGAAACTTGCAGGCCTGGAGGGAACCAGCTGAAAGCTATCTGAGCTCAACATGTGTGCCTGCTTAAGCAGTGTCCTCTGTGCTGTTTCAGCCAGTGTCCCCTTGTCCTTCCTGGCTGTTTGCTGAGCCTTGAATGCTTTCCATTTGCTCTATCTCTGAGCTCACACCAGGAGCCAGAAGGTCCCAGGGTGAGGTGGTGTCCTCAGGGCGGGAAAGAACAGGCAGTTCTCATGTTTTGTCTGTGGCCCAAACATCTGTGAGCTTGGGAGGCCAGTTCCCTTGCAGGGTTGAGGTTTCCTCTCGCTCTGCTAAAGTTACTTATTTTTCTTCTGAGTAGAGAACATCAGTTTCTCTGTATTTGGCCTGGCCTCCTCCTCTGGTTTTAGAGGTGTGGGAGATTCCAAAGTTTGTTTTTAATGGCAACCTCGTTTCTATCCTGTTGGCTCAAGTGTGGGCGGTGGATTTTGCACCCCTTGCGTGGTGGTGTGCGGTGTTGCTGAGACCAGTCTGGGACGTGCATGTAGGAAGCGTGGTGACCTGCGTTTCTGGGTCTCAACAATCCTGATGGCCACATGCACTGGAGGCGCAGGGCAGAGTGTGAGGCTAGTGCTGTGCAAACGTCAGCTCTCCGATATTTGATTGAGAGGAAGACACGTAACCTCCCAGGCCTTAGTTCCTTATCTGTAAAATGAGGTTGGATGTGATTATTGGTGTCCTGTGTACCTTGGAGCGCTCAAAGTGCCTCAGAAGCTGCCTATAAAGACGCAGAAAGGTCATGGGCAGGCCATTGTCCCCTCCTCTGATCCCCAGCCTCTCATTTTTCTATAAATCAAATTATGAGGAAGATGTTTGAATAATGAATTCCATTGTTCAAAAACAAGGGTGAGGGGGCTGGGGATTTAGCTCAGCGGCAAAAGCGCAAGGTCGTGAGTTCGGTTCCCGGTACCAGAGAAAAACCAAAAAAAAAAAAAAAAAAAAGGGTGAAAACCAAGGGTGAGGAGGTGGTCCCTGGGTTCTGGCAGGTCTGGCCTTACACAGTCTCCCATTTTCCCGCTGCCAGTGGCCCTGGGAAGTTCCCCCCTGCTCAGATCTCTGCCCCTTTAATCAGCTCCAGTCCTTTCTCAGGATTCCCTGTCCAAACAGTATCTTAGGCTGAAAGCCTGGGCTGGGAAGTTTCTCTCTGGGCAAGAGTAGAGGGATGAAAAAGAACCAGGCAGTGAGGAGGCTGGTTTGTTTGTCCTGCTCTCTGTGAGGCAGGACACCTGTGACTTTCTCTTCCCTGCTAGATGAGATGCACACTCATCTACAGTTCACTGAAATGTGTAAAAACCTGTTTTTGTGAAGGAAAGATGGGCCTCAGCTTGCCTGTAAGTCACCTTGACATCTGACACAGATGGTCCTCTGAGTGGACAGACACTGGCCTGTGGCACTTGGCCTGGTATATCGGGCAGGGTGAACTTCAGTGTCTTTGCACAGTGCACAACGCTGCCTGGCTCTTCGGGAAAAGCCAAGAAGGCTGCTGAGCATGAAGCCACTGCTCCTCTCCTCCTGCCAGTTGTATTATTAGGAAAGCTATACGAATGATTCAGTGTGATTTTGTTTTAGAATTTATGGTCCCCAGAGGCCTGTGATTCACTCTCCTGAGACCTGTGTCCCTGCCCTTTGCTCCTCCTTTAAGTGGCTTCTTTTGCTCTGTTTGTCCCTCTTCCGCTTGCATCTCCTGCTCACTCCTGTGTGCCTCACTTCTCAGAGCCCCAGCCTGCCTAGTGTCTCTTCCAGGGACCATCTCACTGTTCCGGGTCCTTTCCCTGGTGAATGCATCAGAAAAGTAGAACCTCGACTTAACAGTCTCTGGATTCCCATTTTCAGCTTAATTTTCTCTCTTTCCCGAAACTTTCCCTGGTGTTCACCCTTGCATTTTCCCTGTTACCGAAGGGGCAGGGAAGCTGCAACCCTGCCCAGTGAGGATTCCGGGGGAGAACAGGGCTGTGAGTACTAGTGTCTCCTCCTGCACATCAGCCTGCACTCTGGGCAGCTGGAGCGGCACGTTCACCTCTGTGGTGTTGGTCACTGGCTCTCCCGGACTCCAGTGGCTCCTTTTTGTAGCAATAAAGTCAGCAAGGCCATCTGGATACTCTGTTCCCGTGAGAACTGGAGGAAACTGCTGCCTGCAAGGATACTTCGGCTGCACAGAGCCCTTAGGAAACACTTTCTCTAGCTGATGTGTAGACAGTAGCTTAGAATACTTTATTTACTTAAAAATGAGAACCGAGTAGCAATATTGTTTTGTAAAGTTAATTGTGAAAGCTTTGGTAAGAATGAAATCACTGGGTATAAGAAATTGTCTTACATAAAGATAGATCTGGCTTAAAAAATTATATTATGAACTGTTCTTTCTTATCAACGATTTGAAGATTCTAAAAATACATGTGTGAAAATGATTACACAGCAGTAGTTAGAGCTGCACACGTGTATGCATGTCCAGTGGCTCCTGATGGGCTGAAAAACTGTGGAGGAGAACAGTGAAAGGGGAGTGGAGTTTATTTCCTGGTTGTGATGGCCATGTGGGGAATTTCTTTTCCCTACCTTCTTTTGGTTTTAATCCTTCAAGTGTCTTGTATCACATTATGGTAGCTAAAGGAGCCGGGGGTGGGCGGGAATGAGGACCCTGTAGAAGGGAACGTTTCTTTTTTGTTTCTTACAAGGGAACATTTGAAGTGGGGGAGAGGATGGGCGAGAAGAGGAGGAGCCCAAGGACATGGGACTGTGCTCAGGCGGTCAGGTAGATTCTGGGTTACTGTTTTCAGGCAGGGGTGTTTGGTACCACTGGCAGCAATGCAAAAATCTGGCCACCTGTGGTCTGTAGGATTTGGTTTGATGGTGCCTGTCCCAGGGGAGTTAGTGAGTGCCCTGGGCTTTGGCAGTCTAAGCCGCTAAGGACATGGGCTGGGCTTCCATCCCCTAGTCCTTGGCTGCCTGTCACTTGGCACAGACCTTTGAAGAGTCCCTTCTGCTTGTATCTCCTGCCCATTCCTCTGTGCCTCACTTCTCAGCCCCAGCCTGCCTGCTGTCTCTCCCAGGGACTGTCTGACTTGAGAATGCGCCAAACTTTTTCTCTTTCTCCTCTGCTTCTTTACCTTTAAGGTTCCCATTGTCTGTACTTTAAGGCCCAATCAATCAAAATTGGCCTTGGGAAGATTCATCAGGGAGAGATGAGTCCTGTCCATAGGATAATCCAGATCCAAGTTCTTCCTGGGAGGGAGGAAAGAGTTGTGTTTTGTTGTGGCAGGGGGTAAACTATCCCGGTGTTGGTGCTTCCAGAAAACCATAGGAACCCCAGAGCAACAGGATCAGCCATTAGAAACCCCTCTGATGTTGGTCATGACTGGCTATAGCGTGAGAAGGGCACCATTGCCAGCTCATGTCCCTTACCTGCTTCCTCACCTACTTTGCCTGAGGCTGTCATCAGGGCAATGGTTCCCTTTGCAGGCTTCCCTGGACCAGACATCATCATTTCTGCTATGCAAAGGAGGGACCCAAGGCTCTGAGTAGTAAACAGTGAGTCTGAGTCCATATGCTTGGCCCATACAGACCTGGTACAAACCCAGGGCCACCCACCCGATAGGCCCATCGTCCTATGCATACTACCTACTTCATACCCTTGGAGAAGCTTCTTTTGCCTTGGTGAGAAGTAAGAGACATTGATTTTGGCATTGGCAGTGAAGGTTCCACCTGACCAGAGTGGGCCAAAGTCACAGACACCAGGTGGTTTCAGATTTTTGGCTCCAAGAGCTTCCTGAGCCAAGGTGCTGTGGGACTTGCAGCCTCTATAGATGTCCAGCCTCCATCTCCGGAACAGTAGACTCTTGGGACCTGCACTGGGCTCTTCGGTGCTAAGAGGGAAAGCCTGGGGTGGGGAGGCAGCTGAGGTAAAGCCAGGTTGAATGAATAGAATGACCCACCAAGGTGTCAGAGGCCTGATCCAGGGGAACAAAAAAGATGTAAACCTATAGTGGAGTAGGGAGGCACCCTGGATGGCCCTCATCAAGCCCACTGCGTGCAACTGATCGAGTAGAGGGAGCTGGGCTGGGCCTGGCCTGCCCAGGGATCTTCCTTCAACAGTGCATCTTAACCTTTTGTTCCACAGCTATTGTAGACCAGCGCCCCATTGACTACTGTGCCACTGGCCTCCATGATTGTGACATCCCTCAGCGGGCCACCTGCATCTACATGGGAGGCTCCTCCTACACCTGCTCCTGTCTGCCTGGCTTTTCTGGGAACGGCCGAGCCTGCCAAGGTTTGTGGGCACTCTGAGTTCTCCCTCTCAGTCATTTGGAAAGGTCTCGGTGTTACCTGCTGTGCACTGATTCCCGGCCTACCCTGACCTCGCTACGCCAATATTAGAAAGAATTATGGTCCTGGCCCCCTTGGGGAAAGGAACTGCTTCTTAGATCTCCATGGCTAGAACTGTGGTTTCTTTTGGGGGCTGTTCTCTGTGATACTTGCACTCCCGCCGCTGGCTTGTTCTACGGACTTGTTTGTTCAGGCAACAATTAGGCACCTGCTCTCTGCTGGGAACTGAGGACATTGTTAGTCTTCCACAAAAAAAGCAAACAGTCGACGCACGTGTGCAGCATAAAGTCCATCCTTTTATTTAGTAAGATGCACATACTCATTTGGCCGGCTTGCTCTGGCTTTCTCCCCCCAAAGCAGAGTTCCCTTATTGAATAAATGGCTGCAGAGTGAATAAATGTCACACAGGGTCCTTTCACACTTGGCATCAGCTCCCTGGTGGTTCCTAGACACTTGCAGGAAATTTTGGGTAAGATAACCTGTAACAGGGTCCCCCAACCGAGTCTTTTTAATTGGCAGAACTGCTTGACTGTATACCGTGGAGGGTTTCTGAAAAGCCCACACTTTCTAAGGTGTTTTGAAATATTGTCTCTTCATTGCTTATAGAGTGAATGGTCACTGGCCTCCGGGGCTTTTCTGTCCACAGTTAATGCTCTGTCTCCAGACATGCAGGCATTTCAGCAGTTCTTGCTTTTGATGAAAGGAATCTTCTTATGATGCAAATGCGTCATTTCTTTTTCCTTTCTGCAAGCTTGATTCCTCGTGAAGACAATATTGCCAAAGTGAAACACATTTGTGAATGTCCTAAATCAGTGATGGGAAATCTTTTGGAGCTTTTAGTGATGCAAACATCCTGCTGTGGCACCCTTGTCGTAGGTTTGCCACCGTGGTTCTAGATGGATTTTGGGGACTTAGTGTCTTGAAAATTAATGTTTAGTGAGTTGAAAGTCACTGTTCCAAAAAGCTGGTTCTCATAGATAGGAGCAAGTGGGTTAAACTGCTGTGTAAACCACAAATTCTGGGAGCAGTCTCACTGACCCTGGGCCTGTGTCTGCTTTGCAGATGTGAATGAATGCCAGCCCAGTCGCTGTCACCCCGACGCCTTCTGCTACAACACTCCAGGCTCTTTCACGTGCCAGTGCAAACCTGGCTACCAAGGAGATGGCTTCCGATGCATGCCTGGAGGTAAGGGGCGACAGTTGGAGGTGGTGGCCCATTGCTGTACTCATGAGGGCTGAGTACTTGGCCCCGGGGACGAGGGGAATTAGTAGCAGACTTCAGGGACAGTCTTCACCTCATGGTCGTCCAAAAGCAAAAAGAGAGAGGAAGGGCTGTGTCCCCCTATGCCGTTTGAGGCCCCAGTGACCCAGCTTCCTCCCCATAGGCCCCACCTCCCAAAGCTTGTACCATGTCCCAGTAGGGCCATGGACTGGGGACTAAACTTCAAAACCTGCCCTTTGGGGAACAGTCAAGATCCAAACTAGAGCAATGCTTTATGGGGTCTGTTTCATGGCACGCTCGTGATCTTCTTCTCATCTTCATGAGGTAAGTTGTGCGACTGTCTCCATTTACCTGGAAGGTGTGACTCCAGAGAACAAAAATGCTCAAGTTGTAGTAAATAGTAGTAAAAGCTAGAACTGGGTTGGTCAGGTGGACTGTCAGTGTAGATTCAGTCCTCCAGACCTCTCTCATCCTGACATGAGGTTAAGAATGTACTTGACTCCTCCGGCTGGAGGTAGCCAGGCACGTTATTTGTTTTTCGTTATTGCTGCTCTTGTTGGCCAGATATAACCACGGCACTATGGGTGTTTTTAATAGAGCTACCTGGACATTTTCATCTCTCCACTTATGCAAGCATCCAGGAAATGTGTGAGTGTCCACCTCTGACCAGTCTGGGTTCATTGAGAGCAGCGTGCAGACACTTTCTATGTTTCCAGTGCCCGGTGGAGTTTATGACCTGTGTAGCATCATGGCTATTTATAGTTGTTAGAAAAAAAATGAATCCACCAGTTTCTGTGTCCCTACCAGCAGTACGCAAAGGTATTTGTTTACCCATATCCATACCCTTACTAGGATTAGCTTTTAGAATGGTGTTGATCTAAAAGGAGAAAATGTCAAACAAAATAAAGTTTTAATTCCATGTTACTAGGGTAAATTGTCTTCTCTCTGTTTAGAACAGGGATCAATAAACTATGGCCCATGGGCCTAGTTTGGCCCTCTGTCCGATTTTATAAATAAAGTTTTCCTGCATGAAGTCTGGCTGCTTTCATGTTAGGAAGGCAGAGTTTAGTACTTGTAACTGAGTCTGTGAGGCCCACAAAGTGGAAAGGACTTAAACAGTTTTCCATGGTGGAAAAAGCTTATACCCAGCTTAGGTGGATCCAGGCAGGGTCAGCCCTTTGTTCCTGAGTTTAAGGGTGAAAACTGTAGGCTCACGCACAGATTTTGATAGGCAGAGTACACAGAGAAGCGTTGTTGGCAGTGAGAGTCTGGGCATTCCAACAGCTATTAAAAGTGACTAGTGTCCATTATTCCACAGCTCGCTTCTCATCTTCACTTCAAAGAGAAGCAGATGTTTCAGTTTTTTGCTTTTGTTGTTTTTAGCCTGACTCCCTGCCCTCTCTTTAAGGTTCTGTTTACTAAACAGAAACAAATCCAGACCTGTAGTCTGGGATATGAAGAAGAGGCAATGATAATGTTAGTAAGAACTGTTTACCAGACTGTTTATATATTTAATCCTATTCCCTGAGGAAATTCAACATCTAGCTATATGCCCAAGAGACAGTGTGCATCTGAAATGAACAAGAATGTTCACTCCAAATTGCAGTAGAAAAGTCTCCATGGCTGTCAACAAGAGGAAGGGACATATGAGCTGTGGTTAATTTCATATAAGGAAATAGCAGGCAGCAGTTAAAATGAATGAATGGAGTTAATGGATAAATCTCAAAACCATGGTATTAGTTTAGCAAAAGAAAAACTTGCCAAAGGATGTGTTCAGTATGTGCATAAAATAGAGAGTGGTGTGGAAATAAACGTACATGCATAGGAAGACGATAAATAAGGAGCCCAGCACAGAGCTTACCTGTGGCGGGAGATGGGGTTTGGGATTAGGGGAGGGTAATGGGTATCTTGGTTAGTATGGACTTCTGTGACAATACCATGGAGTGGGTGGCTTATATGTAACAGAAACTTATCTCAGCAAGCTTTTTTGTTTGTTTGTTTGTTTTGTTTTTTTCTGGTACTGGGAATTGAACTCACGACCTCCCTCTTTCTTGCCAGGCAGGCACTATGCCGCTGAGCTAAATCCCCAGCCACTCAGAAACTTATCTCATAGTGTGAGAAACCTTAGATCAATGTGCTGAAAAATTTAGTGTCTAGGGAGGTCCAGTTTCCTGGTTCATGGAGGCCACCTGTCTTGCTGCAGTTTTCCTTGAGTGATAGAATGAGCGGGGGTCTCTCTGGGGCTGTTTATAAGACACTGATCTCATTGCTGAGGGCTGCATCCTTATTACATCACCTCCCAACGGAGCCCCTCTTGGACAGCATCTAGGGGGTTGGTTTCAACATTCAAATGTTGGGAGGACGCACATTTCCCACCATAGTGTCAGGCCGTATTTATATTTCTAACATTTTATTCAGCTGGAATATGAATATGTAGATATTCATCATGTTCTAAATTTTGCATGTCTAAAATATTTTAGCAATCATTACAGAGAGAAATGATATATAATATCATAAGACTCCTGGTGCCAAACTTAATGAAGGACAGGGATTGAACAGTCAGCACTCACTTGACACCTGGTGTGTGTACAGGGGAGCTGCCTCCAAAAATAAAACCAACCTGGCTTTGAAGGTGAGCTAGTAAGGTCATGGCTTTATCAGTGTCAAATGAGAACAGACAAAGTAGAGGAAATTATAATCTGTTCTTCCTCCATCGTTCTGCATTCTGCCTCAGCTTATATATGGTTGTAAAATCACTTTAGTGGATCACTATTATCACTGTTTTTTTAGATAGAATGAATGAAGTAAAAAACAATCTAAAAAATAGAGTATAGGAAGAGTATATAAATAGTATTTCTGGAATGAAGAGTCATATGTAAGATTGTACATGTGTGTGGTGTGTGTGTCTGTATACGTGTGTTGACATGTGCACATATGAGGTATCTGTTGTTGCATACCATTGCCCTCCAAAGTTAGCTGCTTATAACAATAAATGTTAATTATCTCCCAGTTTCTATGGGTTGGGTCAGGAATTCAGGAGCAGTTTACTGGGAAGCCCCAGGTTGAGGTTAGATGGTTGTAAAGCCAGCAGTAAAAGCTGGGGTCTGCTCTGCCAGAAGAGAAGGCTCTGCATGGAGGACCCAGGTAGCTGTTGGCCCCCTCAATTCCTCTCAGCCCGGCCCTCCCCAGGGTGCCTTAGCATCTGTGAGACCTGGCAGCTGGCTCCCTCCAGGGCATGTGATGGGTGAGATTGAGGAGGAAGGTGACCAATATAGGAAGTGACCTACTCTCTGCTCCCCGCTGAGGCTGACCAGCTGCCAGTGTGAAAAGGGACTTCCTCTTGCAGGAGACGGGCGGTATCTCGAAGGCTGCTATCATGCCACTGCCCCTGCCAGGACAGCACCTGAGAGAATATCACTGGCCAGAGTTTTCCACTGCAGTAAAGTCAGGAGAGGGTCAGAAAGGGCATAAGAAAGATACCCTGGGCTGGCGATTTCCACCTGGTCCTTCAGTCACATACAATCTAAATCCTGGGGATGCTTGCACAGAGTTGGGGGTTCCTGATAGGTGCATGTGGATATTTCTGGGTGAAAGTCATACCTAGAGAAGTTTTTCTCCCCTCGTCAAGATTACATCTGCATCTCCCTCCCATGCTGAGGGTCTAAGTACGGTGGATGAGAAGAATTAGAATGTACCACCATGTTGTACCTTATTACACAGTCTCTGCGGAATGATCCTATGATACTATCACCACGGATAGAATTTCTGAGAGCAGTTTTCTTACTGAATCACTGTCTAGTTACTCAGTGGTTAGAAGCAAGTTTTCTTGTAGAGTCCTCAGGAAAGGCTTGTGGAAGCTGTATTCCTCGTTCACATTGTCTTCCTTTTACTCTTACCACCCCTGTGACATAAAGCACAGTGGTTAGACTTTAGTGATGATCTGACGGTCTGTCCCAGTTTATCTGTGTGCATAAAGACTTTGTGTGTTTTTGGTTCTCTATTTAAAGTCCAACACTTTTACTAGAATGTGGATTGGTGCTGATTGTTCTGCGTCAGTATTCTTCATTACACAGCGTACTTTTTAGTATGTCCTTCCAATTTTTTTTTTTTTTTTTTTAATTTTGGGAAACTTATTTTGAATTACAGTTTTAGTGTGTGTGTTTTCTCTCCATGCCTTGGTTTATTTCCTCAGGGGCTTTTTTATATGTTGAATCTTCTTTGTCTTTGCTAGTATTTGTTGCCTTCTCTCCAGTCTATTTTATCTCATTTCTTTTTGACTTTGTTTTCCTGAGTTCTGTTTCTATTAAGACCTCATCTATTCTGTATATTTTACTTTTTTGTTCCTCCTAACACAGTCTTCATTTCTGGGTTGATATTTTTTCTTTTATTTCTATGTCCTTCCTGACTTCTGTTGCCCTCTTTTGGAATTTTCTAAATTTTGATTCATGTTTTTCTTTGCTGCCTGCATCGTTGTCTTACTGCCCTTTACTTACTATGATCTGTTCTGTGCGCAAGTCTTTTTGGCACACTCTCCTGGTCTGTAAGGCTGTGGCTGTGCTCCTTATTATCCCTGTCTACTACTAGCCTCCTGTGGGATCTGATGTCCATACTCTGCTGTCTGTGCTTTATGTGAATCTGTGTTTCCTTGGAGTTTGGGAAGCGTGGCTTGGTTTGCAGAATTTCCTCTTCTGCGAAGTATTTAAAAGTATTTCAAGTTGCGTTTGAAATTTCTGGCTCTGTTTGCCTTCCCCATGTATATATGTTCCTTTTCTCTCTCTCTCTTTTATTAAGTTTATTGGTTCAATTTGGATATATATACTGATCGCATTCATCATGGGGAATTTGTACCTGTACATGACACATCTTGATTGGTCCTTCTCTTTCCTAGACCCTATTCTGTCTCACTTTGACTCTTCTCCTGTAATTTCTCCCCATGTGGGTCCCTGCCAGCTCCTTAACTCTGA